TGATTAATGGACTTCTTGCTGAGGGCGGATGTATAACCAGTGAGAAAAAAAAAATTAGTCGGGAGGGGGCCGGTGGCATCGAGGGAAAAGCTGCGCCACTATAGCTGTAGTACGATCGATTAATTGGAGCTGTTGGACGCCATAATCATCTGGTTGCTGTTGTTTAATTGTTCCGGGATGATTTGCACGATCATCTCTTCTTGCGTTGTTATCCTGCGTGGTTAACCCCATTGACATTGTCAACGTCGATTTGCAATCTTAGCATAATCAGAAGAGAGAAGAGAATCTAAAAGAAGAAAAATATCTAAAAATAATATTTTTTTATTCACTAAACTTGTTGAGTATTATTTCAAACTTAAATCAGTTGTTGAAAAATGTATGAATATATGTATCATTAGCATTAATATAATTGTGCCATATTTACTTTCTTTTGTAGGCATATTTTCGCTCTTGGCGTGAAATCGATGTATTTGACTCCGCAAAAAATTTCGAATCGTGTTATGATTATTAAAATAGAAAAAAAAAATAGAAAGAAAAATTTTGAAAACAGTACAGTCGATTTGTAATATTTATCGATGTCGTAATTGCTTCTTAGAGATCATCCGATACGTTGTTGTTTGCGTATCTTTCGCGCTAGGTATAGGCCAAAATTCGCAAGCTTTTGACGAGTTCATTCTATGACGGGCAGTCTAAGACCAAAGTCTAACGACCTGGAAGTCTAACGAGCGGTCGTAATAGTCGAAGTAAAGTTGTTGTCGAGTTGTTTGATTATAGTTCGATATCGTGCGATATATTATATTACATCATATTAAATCATTATTAATAACGAAGTACTGTGTGATGTATTTTCTCATTCTGACAATTCTACCCTACCAATCAAGAGAATACGTCCACACTTTACTTATTTTTCCCTTTATGATTGTTGCAGAGCGATATCATGGGATTTTCCAACGTTACACGAAGAGAGTCACCATCACAAAGAAATAAATTGCGAAAATTGTTTCGCGTAAGAAGCGCCGCGCCTGTACATCGTTCCTAATTGACAGATAGAGGAAGGAGCCGGGGGAAGGGGGGGGAGGTAAACTAGAGAGGAGAATGAGAAGAGGGTCGGGTGGAAGACACGAAGCAACGTTCGAAATTTACGAGTGAGTCGGTTTGCTTGCACGTCGTGGGGTTCAAGATGGTGTCTAGGGGCGGTCGTGCGCCGTAACAAATGGTTCAGCCGTGAACCGGCTCGCCATGCAACGACACCGGAAACAGGCGGCAGCTATCCGGTGAACGAGCGAGTAAACGAACTGGGAGATCTGCAAGAATTCGCGAGGACAAGGATGTGAAGTTTGCCCGGCTGTCTCTCGCGTGGCGAATTGTCCCGAGGCACGAAAGTCGAACGGGCGGGGTCGCACTCATTTACAACGAAATTTCCCGGAGACAAGATGATTTTGAAACGTCGACGATGAGACATCGTGCTTCTCGCGATCATGGCTCCGTGAGAGAACGCATCGCGACATCCTAATACGCGTTTTGCGAGAACCGAGAGATATGACGAGGTGCCGCGTGACTCGACATTGAGATCTCGATGACGATTTAATCCACGATAACCCGGCCAGATGGGTTAAAGGCGACTCGCGATTGACGGCGCGATCTCGTGCTGCTTACGAAATGGCGATCGTAACGTGCTCTCGAAAATGCTGCAACAAGTGGTGTTCGGATCTTTAATTCTGAGACATCATCGATGTTATTCGACGGACAAACGAGAGATTTTGATCCGGAACCGATCAGGTGTACGAGTAGTTGGATCGAGAATTTCGTATAGAGAAACCGCCGTTGTGTCCTAGAACACGATGCCAGTGGGATTAAGCGCTTCTAATGAACTTTGAATCTGTTTCTCTTGTCTCGTGCACGATCGTTTCGAAATTTCTTCGTCAGGGTCCCAATCGCCGGTCTAAGTAGATTTATTCCCGTCGAAGGAAAACGTTCGACCAACGCATTGAGAGATCGAGAGGTCCCAGTCCAATTCTGTTAACTTCATCAAAGGGCACTTCGTCGATCGAAGGATCGAAGGGTGAACAAAGAGTAGCCCGGAGCTGGGATTTTAACTTGATTCCTACCGTTAGCTTTCCTCGAATTCGAGTACTTGGATTTACCGATATCGCCCTCATCAGGAAGATACGTAGAAATTAAAGTAAATTTTAATTTGTTAACAACAATTTGTCCAAGCAAAAAAATTAGTGTTAATCTAAATTAATGCATAAATTAATATCGAAACGTTGCGCGATTTAACGTTGCATGCTAATGCTCGAAGAAAGAACTGCAACCGCGAGTCCATGGCGACGAAGGTGCTCCGTGCTGTGCAGACGAAAGAAAGACTCGTCGGAGATCATCGACGATTTTTAGAACTGCTATCTGACCTTTCGTCGGCGGATCCGTTGACTAACGTAGCAACAGCGTTGTTCGCACGCCGCGGGCAAATACGTCCCGTGACTTGTTCGAGGAGGAAGACTTCGCGATAATCCACGTCGAGACGCTGTCGCATCCGCAGAGACGTCGTCGAATGAGACGATGGTGATGAAGATATCCGCAAGCGAAGCTGGCGTTCCTTTACTAGGCGCCGTCGGTCCGCGCTACGTCGTCAAGCAGGCGACGGTGAAGCGCTGCGTCCTGGCACTGCTGCTCGTCTCCCTCGCCAGTATATTTTACTACACTCATTACATCATCAGCAGTGGACCACTGTCCAGGTAAATTCAAAGAACAATTATTTATCACCATTTTGCGTCTTATAATTAATCGGAAATAACATATATAATAATTTTTCCTTCAAATTTATATTTTTGTATTTATATATTTTTATATTTATGTTTTTAAATTTATATATTATATTTTTAAAAGAGTGGAAGGATAGTAAAAATGAATCGCGTATTGTACGAGACATCCCGCAACTTTGTACAATATAAAATTTTTATTCTTTAATAGATTTTTAAAAACGGTTTGAATTGTTTATAAACTCTTCGATTCTGAGTCTGGAAAGTTTTATTATCTCCTTAAAAATATTTACAATATTCGCGTAAACAGAATAATGCTTAATTAGCACGAGATTTTTATGCGCGGCATCTGTTGCTGGACGAAACTTCGTCAAACTTTTTGCACAATAATCCGACGTGTTTGTAGGAAAAAACTTGTACAGCTTCTTCGGCTCGGTTGACTTCTGTCATCTCAGTCGGAAATGATTGTAGGAATGTAAAATGAAGAGCGTAATTTCGTCCATTGTTGGAATCGCGTGAACTGCAAAGTACATGTAATTTTGCGATAGTACCGCGATAATAGCGTGCAAATGTAACGGCAAATACGCGGAAGTGAGTTTAATATGAGGAACGATTAGTATTGAGTAGAGACACTGCGAGTCGTTTGATGATAACTAAGATAGAATGGCGACACTTTTAATTACTTTGTATGCAATCAAGGAAGGCAAAGCAGGCCAATTAGAGTCGTGAGCTGGCTGACCGTCGCGCTGGCCAGTTCGTAACTCTGAAATTGCGTGGTCGCGTGCAGTCGTTGCATCTTCCAGCAGGAATCTCGTGCGTCGTAGACAATTTCCATTGATGTCTTTTTTTACGAGTTAACGATGTAGACAAGTGGAATTAACGAACGCGATTCGCAATTATTTATAAGAAATTGTTTTATTTTTAAGAAATTGCTGTTGCTAAATATTACATAAATAATATTGTAAAATCAGTAATCTTTGTTGATTAGCAATAAAAATTTTTTATTTAAAATAATGGGTTGTCACTGATCATTTCATTAAAAATGCGAAGCAACGATCTTATGAGATAATAATATCAGAATAATAAAGAAGATAATAACGGAGACAAATAAAGAAACATCAACGGTCTTATGATCTTGATAATGGTCGAGGTAATTGCGAGCCAGTTTTATCGAATCTGAAGTCACGAGAAGTCCTAACACGACGATAAAATAGACAGAAAAGGGCGCATATATAATTTGCCGCAATTTCGCATGAAGATAATGAATACGGTGTGTAACACCGACAGGAATTCTGTGAAAAACAATTTTTATTGATGTAGAAGTATTGGTAGTATCAAAGTCCATTAATCTAACTTCGCGGCCACGTATTTCCATGTTTCATAGTAATAAAATATCTTTGTCACGCAGCCAGCACACCGTCCATTATACATAAATATACGTGCGGTTGTTATCAAGAATATCGCGTACAGGAAAATTATATTAATTACTTTTGATTAATCAAAGAATAAAAGATGCATGAAATTATCATTGACTACGCTGCAGGATGTTTCATATATCTAATTGCACGTTACGACAATTACATCTTTACCGTTTTTCTTCTCGATTGTGTAAATTTTTTTTTTTTAATTTCTCTAATTTTATCGGCAACGATGTTAAAAATGTCGAATACTTTTTAACATCGAATAAAGTGCCCTTTGATTATTTACTTGGCAAACGAGCAGTGCACGAACGAAGACAGTTGTGAATTTTAGCAAGTGCGGATTTCTTCTACCGTTGTAAACTAACCAGATATCCGAGAATGTAGGAAGCTCGAATAACTCATGCAAAGACGAAATAGTTTGTGGACTCAGCGAATTGGCAGGTACCGTCGGTCTTAGAGACGATCCAACTTAGATCAGGTACGAGCACAAGTATATATATATATATATATATATATATATGTGTGTGTGTGTATGTACGCGAGCATACATATGTATGAGGGATTATGTATATATTTCCGTGATATAACTAGCCCAATCCCAGTTTTCTTCGATATCCTGCAGTAGGACTGCCTGGTTACGCCGATGCCTGTCAGAAGTAACTTCACAGTTAATTAGAAGAGACGAACAATTCCACGATCTGAGACGATCGTTTCGGTTCTATTCAGCTCGTTTCCATCCGACGATATGCAAGTGCAGCATCTGCGGTTACTTGTTGAAAAACGCGCGATAATAATGATCGCGTACAGCGGGGCGCGCTTCCGAGATACAGTAACTGAAACGAAACGTGTCGCGTGAGCGTTAGACGCTGATATTTCCAAAGGTGCGGAAATTATATCGTGGCTGATGTTTTAGCCATTATGTACACGCGAAGTTTCGCATTTTTCTCGCACGGGAATCGAAGTAATTAAAGTATAATTTTCCCGCGCGCGCTGCCGCCCCGCGACCAGGTCCTCGCTGAGTGAGAGCTTGACAAGTTTTCTTCGACACGTAGTCGACAAGATTGTTCTGAAAACCGATCCCCCACCGAAATATCGCTTACGTCAGGGGAAAAAGTTTCGGATATATTTTTCATGACGGTATTGCCGAGTTGCAAACGGTTTCAAGAATGTAAACTGCACGTTTACACGAACGAGAGAAGCTCTCCCCCGACGGCAGATCATAATTTACTTTGCTGCAATACTAACAGACATAAAATATTCGTTATAATCCTGCAATGCGCTTCATATTGGAGACCGGAGACCGAGATATATGACTTGTTACTACGATACGCTACTATACCTAGAGACCAAGAGAGACCGGCGCATAAATCCTCATGCATGTGCTATCGAGTTAGTTGATAATGCTGTGATCTTACGCGGATCAATCTTAGCAGATAAGCCGCGACACAAGCCGTGGAATTCTATAGTTGATCACAGTACGGAGTGTTCGCCCTTATCGTCAATCATAGAGTTTAATACACACCGATACAGACATTGACATGTAATTTCACATCTATGCTGGCAGTTTCATCTATAACCATTTATGTAATCTATGTACCATACTGGACAGTCCTATTGGCAAACATACGGCGGTATCTTGGAAACTGTATTGCGAGATATTGCATCTCGGTATTTATAATTGCACTGTCAATTTAGATAAGACAAGACGGACTACGTGCGATTTATCGAGAGGTCTGCGGTGATGCGAAACTCGGATTGATCGTCTAATCAAGTAGGATTCTATCTCGTCCGTTTACGTTAAAACGGGAATTAAATTGTTTTATTTCTTCCAACTTCCTACCATATTTTTTAATTAAATTTTGGCGAGATTACGACTATAACTTTTTTTTATGCCAAACAAATATTTCGATTTATATTTAAAAACTCTTTTAGATATATGTTATCTGTGCATCACATAAAAGGATCAATTATATTATTTAAAATGCCTGTAAAATATCGTTACAATGATAAATTACAATATTTTGTGTTAGATATTTTATATAAAAATATATTCTTATAACAAATATTTTTTAGCGCTCAAAGAGCCTCAGTCAGCGATGTCGCTCCTGCAGTAAAATGCATTATCGCGATGGCAGTAACAAATTAGCGGAATCCACGGACGCACAACGTGGCAATTTTAGATCGCTCGTAGGATTCTGCTTCGTCGCGTCGCGATAGTGTCAGCTGTCGCGGCGGCTGCAGCTATGCATTTCGCCGTTTTTGTGCGCGGGCGCGTTATCGCGCGATAAATCGTTGTTTTACATTTTGGACAGTGACGCGTAAACGTTATTTAAAGTAGGACGCCGAGACACAAAGGTAGCAGCAGGAAATTTATCGTTAACGGTGTCGGGGGCTCATTTCTTTTTTCAGCGTCGCAACGCCCGAGCCTTCCTCGTGAGAGCCATGAAATAATATCTCACGGACTTTCGTCGGTTACACCGCTGACAAAAAGTACATTTATCTCCGTTGAATAATTCTTTCGCCATTAATCTAAGAAATCGCGATTATACCGCCATCGCGATGTTCTCAACACATGTGTCGACAGTGGATGGAGAAAATTACTTACGACGATACTGTGTATCGTGAAAAACCCGCCTTCCGTTTAAATGCGAGCGCGTAGCTCGAGCAAAAGGCGAAAACGCATTCGCGCGAGATACGAAGTGCGTTTTTATCTTTTTCTCCTTCTCTCTCTCTCTCCTCCCCCCCCTCTTCCTCCCTAACTTCTCTTCTTCTATCTCTCTATTCCTGATAAAACGAGAACCAATTGCTCGATCTATCTCGCTGCGCAAACGTGTGGTTGCACCAAAGAAAGAGAGGCGCATTCTCTGTCGTGGGATGTGAAATGCGACCGGATGTTTGTCGCACGCCCAATCAGCGTCAATTCAAGCTTCTCCTCTCTCGACCGGCCTTACGTCGGCGCTAAGCTTCCCACACGCACGTATACGCAGTTCCTTCCTATCATTAGCCACGCGCCTTTTGCATGATGCATCTTGCAATGCTCATCGCTTCTCTCGCTTTCGTACCCCATCCGGAAGCCGCGCCCGTAAAAATCATCGAGGACGATAAAACTCTTATTCGCATATTATGTTCTGTGCATCTCCTAACTTAAATAAAGAAATAAAATATGCGTACATAATTTTCATATGTGGTGTAAATTGGAATGATCGATTGTCCGTAATTTTAAAAAAACATTTTTGCAATCTCATGATTTATTTTAATTTACCAAACATATTTAAAATATTTAAGTATTAGGACTTATTATTCCCATTTTTCTTTCATTTTTTATTATTAAGTCTTATAAAATATAACAGAAGCTTTATCCTCGATTTTATCAAGAATTAATTATTATTTTTTTTTAATTATTAAATGAATCGTTTTACTGATAATAATAATGAAAAACGATGTTTTTATTTAAGCGTCTTAAAGAAGATTTATATATACATATATCAAAGTTTTATCATCGCATCGAATTCTCTGATGACAGCCGCGTAAACTTAATTTAATTTCTGAACTTGC